CTAATATTTCGTTTTTTCTATTATTCATAAAAGTTGACAAGTTTTCTATAGTAGTTTCAAAAATTGGATATTCTTCACGCAAAGATCTTCTATATGCTGGTTCTGGTTACACATTATCTTTATTAACATGCCGTGGTTCAGAGACTTACCTTATTTTACAACAAGTTTTAGACAACTATTGTAGTTTGCGGGTTTATAAAGGTAGAAATGAAGTACACCAATATGTTGGTGAACACCAATTGTCATTTGAAAGAAGTATGGAATCACCAAAATAGAGACCATCTTGCACTTTTTGGGTTAAAAGATCCAAAAGTTCAGGCATTGTTGACAAATAAAAAAGAAGATATAACATATACATCACTTCAATGGAACGACACATCAATTTTACAACAAATTTTTAATCTGTACATTAAACGTAGAAAAATTTCAATGCCTAATGAAGATTGGCATATTCTTTTTACTAAATAGATCACACAACAAAGTACGATAGTTCAGCTGCCACATGTTTTACATAGTGTATACCCACCTGGTTATTCATTTCAATACAAAGAACTAGCAGCCTGGTATTCTATGTTTCGAGCTTGTAGATGTACAAATATTATGCCCTATTTCAAAAAAGAGTCTGATGTCGAATTTTGGATATGTGCTGTAGATCCTAGGGCTGATCGGCAAACTCTAAAAAGCTTATATCAATGGGAATTAATTCAGATAAAAGATCAAAATTCTCCATGTAATATTGCTACAAGTTGTCAATTCTGGGATAGTTTTCGCTATGCACTAGAAATTAATAAAAGAGAGGCTGGTAGAAAATTTCAAATACTATCTATTATCGTATCTTACTTTGATTATCAGGTTCTTAAAAGAGAATTAGGAGTAAGACATTGAGTATTTTTTTTTTTTTTATAAAATTTATTAATATAATATAATTATTATTAAATACAGGTAATGTCAAAAACTATATACAAAGCCAGAAAACATTCTCGTCTCTATGGTGTTGGTGCACCACCAATGGAAATGCCAAAAAAAACAACCAAATTAATGGCCGAATTTAAAGAAAGACAGTTCAAAATATTTTTTTCCGATAAAGATAATGTTACAATGAGTTCTTACAAGACAGACCCAAAAACTAACTTGCCTATCCTTTTTTTACGTGATAACAAGGCTTCACTTTGGAAAAAGTTTCAACAAACCTTCCCCAATAGGATAAAAAAAACCTCTTTTATGGGCCACATTGCAAATTGTACATATCTAAAATATCAGAGTGATTTGGGTGGCTTTTGCGGAATTTGTAACAATTATGGTTTTGAATCATTTGAAAATTTAATTGGAATTGCGC